CATCTTTGTCAGTATCTGGGCAGCTCTGGGGCTCCATCTGGTGGCCAGAAACAGAATGGCCACTGTAGCAATTGTAGGATAGTTCCCAGGTCCTGTTGGACTACTCAGCCTCCAGATAAGCACTAGTGGGAGAACTGGATAAAGAACTATATAAAGGCAAGCTCTTCCCACTACATATAATGAGAAATGCATATGACTTTTCATGCAAACTTTTCACATCCTCAGAGTTTTGGCTAAATTGAATTAAAGACTAGAAAAAACTCCAAGTTTGGAATGAACAAAACTTAAGGTTGTAATAATGATAAATTAAAATGGCCAGAATAAGCCATCCCTATCTGGGTGACACCCAGACACTCTGGGATTCAGCAAAGGTAAGTGCTGGTATTTATCGTCAAAAGCTGTGCAATGCACATTAGCTTAGATCTTAAGTGGTACTTGCAATAAAAAGTTGCAGAGTGGAGAACTTCTGTGTTTTTCTAGGATACTCCATTCTGTCACTCCACCTATCACCCAACCCTCAGCCAACCTATTTTTCTCTTTTCACTTCCCTGTCCCCTCTGTGTTCTGGGGCCACTGAGCATGCACATTCCTCATTAGGCTGTTTTGGGGTTCTCCTTCCCTTAGATTCTTTTTCCCCAAGTCGTTGTGTTGCTTCTTGAGATTCCCCTAAGTCTGCCTTTCATTGATGATTACATGAGAATTTCCACTTGCTTCTGATCTCATCCATTATAATTAGATGGTTCCTGTTTGTTCAGAAGCAGTATTGCTTTGAATAACACATGCTGGAATCTACAATAGGGAAAACCAATTAACTGAGTTCAGGCTATACAATAACCCACACCCAAAGGTTAAATATGGATTGAGTGTGGGTTGTTGCTGAACTGTGAACTGCTGTTGAAATATGGATTGCGGTGCTGTTTGAACCCAGTTGAGATAACCATCCATGGTGAACCACCAAAACAAACTATGAGGTCTCTTCATGTTTATGGATACTAGTCATAAGCTAATTAGTTGAATTCAGTAACCATGGTTCAGTCCCAAGCTATATTCAGCCCCTGAGTGTGAGTATGATGTCTGAACCCCCTCCTTAGGAACTTTATACCTTGTTCATGAGGTTTCTAGGGGCATGCAGCTAGCCTCCTTTACAACCAAGACTAGCTCTGCTCCAGCTCTTATGTTCTCATAAGAATGTATTCTTTCTCACTACACAGCAGGAAAAAAAACTTTTTTTTTTATTCAGCTCCTCACTTTTCTCTGCTAGGAGAAGTAGTAGGTCCTGAAGAAGAAGCTCTTGGACCTAATGTAGATCCCCACTGGACCATAAGTAGGATGTTCCCCATCACTGGCTTTAAGTACAGTACAGCACCCCTCCTTTTCCTGGGCTGGCCCTGAACATTAGAGAGAAACAAAATTTAAAATCACAAAATGATCCAGGCATAGGAAGGGAGTATCACAAGTCTCATCACTAGCAATATCTAACAGGTGCTTTTAATACTAACATAAACCCACACTACAGTCATTGCAATGGGAAGCGTGATCAATCCACCAACAGCAGAAAGACTCACATTGACACAAGTACAGAAGTATTGCTGTAAGCTTGCTTTCTCTTTGCCATGCAAAATGGCCCTTTCCCCCTAATTTTCTGCATAGCCCAGCACTTGATTCTTGGCAATCACTGTGAAAGGATCCAAGTCTTTTCTATTGTTGTTAATATTTCTAATGGTAGCAGACACCACCAGGCTCTGGATTCAATACAACAGGATAGGAAGACTGAGGAAAAATGACAGGATTCTACACAATTTCAAGCTTTGTATGAGCTGTGGTTAGAACACCTTATACAGCTTGTCTCTGTAAGAAAAAGTAGGACATACTGAAAATGTCAGCATTGCGACAGATAATTGGTGAAGATGACTTTGACTTGTATTCCAATTATTTAATGTGTGAACGGTTTATGAATGTGTTAGTTTTCGTTGCAGAGATAGAACTGTATCATTTTTCTGACTTTGAACAAATAGCTACAGATAGACTAAGAAAGATCCCTTTTATTTGCTGTTCCTTTTGTCTTCTGACAAAAGGGGTGAGTGATGACAGTCATCAGCTCTGGAGTGGTTATTTTCCCACAAGAAATGCTGAGAAGAAGCAAAATTCCTTAGCAATTATTGCATTCTGCAGCAGATTTTCAGGGGAAGGAGGTTGTAGGAAGAGGGCAGGCATACCTGTAATACAATTACACCACTGGAGGAAACATTTGTTCTGTTCTCATTTGAACATACCCAAGTTTACCAGTATGCAAAAACTCTGTTCTCACTTAAAATTCACACTTTCAGAATTTTGCAACAGAATTAAAATTATATAAAAGTGCATGTGAAAATGCACATATTAATGAAAATCATTGAAAGTAACTTTTAAAAATGGGTTACATCAAGAAAAGTGCTTGCCATCACCCCAAGGCATGAGCTAGCATCAGACCCAAATGCAGCTGAAGCCAGAGCAATTTGGAAAGGGAATGTGTGCCGAGATAGGATCATTTTTAAAGGATTTTTTTTCCTTTGTTAAGCTATGGGCAGGAGCAGGGGACTGGTGATTTTTTTAACACTGGGAAAATGACAGCCGGTCCTGTCCCCTCAAAAGAGAAAAAGAAGTGAGGGAGGGAGGGAGATAAGGCAATGGGGATAGAAGAAGCGGAGGAGCGATCCTACTTATTGCCCTTCCCCCTCTTCCCATGGATTAAAGACAGTGGGATAAGTGCACCACTCACCCCCAGAAGTAAGTGCAGCCCCTCTCCTGTGCTGGTTTGCCTAAGAGGAGAAGGGGAAACAACATTGCACTTATTCTCCATTTCCTGGGCAAATCAGAAGGGGACATCACGGGCTGGGGAAGGCAAGAAAGCAACTGAAGGCGGATTGGGCTCATCTCCTCAGAGTTGCTGCTGTTCTGTCTAAACTGGATCGGACACTGCTCCTTAACATACTGCTCCACCCTCCCCAGGCCTACGGAAGCCATCCTTCCTCTTCCCAGAGCAATATCACAAGTTCAGCACACACTGAAATAGGTACGTCAGAAAAAACACACCATATAAAAACATTGTGATGTGACTGGTCTGAAGAAATCTGGACTATAAAGGTGGAAAAACTGTGAGGAAGACGGTTTGGGATGAGCATCATGTGTCAACCTTTACAAAGCTGGTAAAAATGGTTAGTGTGGCTCTCCTCCAAGTCCTGCGAGCTAAATCAGAAACAGCCTGGAAACTCAATCTAAACTGTGTCACGCTCCTTAAAGGAAGTGTGGGATATGCATGTGAAGAGCAATGCAGACCCAAAAGAGTTTAATGGAGATTATTGCCAAAGAAGTAGATCATTACAGGCTAAACTTACTGTTCCAAAAGTCAGTAGATAACTGAACTGTTTACAAATTACTTTCATATTTCTGATTTTCTCTACAACAAATATATTAATTCTGTAAGTATTGCTGTATCTTAGAAGTTTTAAAAATGGTTGAGAAACATTAACTTAACCATCTTTTCAGCACTATCATTTTCTATATCTCCTTTCTCTGACAGGTAATTGGGACTCTTGCAGGGTTGAGGGGGGAGCATTGCCAGAACATGCATTTCTGCACACTTTAAGAAAGCGTTAAGATCCTGTCATTCCTCAGACTTTACTGAGGTGATCAACCACAGCATGATCCAGCTTCATTTTTGCTTTGGAAGAATTCATTTTCATGAGGGAACTGCATACTCAGCTCTGGAAGAAGACAAGTGTAGAGGTGGAGCAAGCAGCTTGTAGAGGATAAAGCAAAACAAACAAAGTTTCATGAAATTGCAGTGCATTGTGCATAGCTCCAAAGAAGGAAAGTAGCCATGGTTTTATATTTTTTTAATTAATGGCTGCATGAGTATTCCCATGTTTTATTATTGCACCTTTAAAACTATCAGCCAACTGATATTCAGAAGACTGTAGGGTGGCCAAGACATACTGTAAAAGTGCAGTCCTCTGCTTTGAACAGCTAGCAGAAGATAGTCCCCTGTTTGGAGGTGTTTTGCGTTTGAAGAACTGGCTAGTCCATATCTAGTTTGAAGTGACAGAAGCTTGAAGGGAGCAGACCACGGACCTTGGAACTTCCAACCAGCAATTAGCAAATTGGCAGTAGGTTGAGCCAGCATACAGGCCACCTATGGGTGCAATTCTGTGCATGTTTAGACAGAAAAAAAGTCCTTCATCTCCTAGGATCTTTCCAGACACCCTTTACTGGTCTGCTTCACTATGGTGAAAGGTCTTGTGTTTCTTTCTATAGTTATTTTTTTCAAATTTCATATATGTTTGTATATGCAGATGTCATGCAAATTGCTATACTCTTTTCTGGTGATGCATTTCACCTTTTGGGGAAATGCTTAAGTGACCACCCTAAAGGACTGTACTCCATGAAGTAGGTCACATGGTCATCCTAACTGAAAAACCTTGCAACAATCTGCAATGTTTTTTCCAGAACTCTTTTTGACTATCAGAAATCCCTGATAAAATTGCCTAGAAATCATTACAGGTGGTTCCCCCAACAGACATCTTCCTGCGCACAGAGATGCTCCTTTGCTCTGTCTTCAAGAATTTATTTGCAAACCTTGTTGAAATTCAAAGATTGATGCATAGATAAACAACTATATAAATATCAGTGCTGACTTATACTATTAAGTTATTCTGGATTATTAACTGTCTTTACTTTAAAATGCAGCATTTTTACAATAGGTGATGGTGTTCTTTAAAATGTAATATCAAAAATACTATTTGCAGTGCGGAACACCGTCGATACCATCCAACCCTCACAGTGAAGTAAGAAACAGTGATGCAACCTCAAGATAAAAAGAGACAGGAGCACTTTAAGAGGGAAACAGGAAGTTGTAACCAGAATCCAGCTGAATTCTGAGCTGTGGCAGTGTGCCGAGAGGCTGCAAATAAAGCAGATGTGCTTGTTGTGAATTTCAGTGCTGTCTAGACTTTCTTTTAAGAAAGCAGATATTTGGGCTTTAAACTATGGTATTTTCTTGAGTTTGGCATTTTTCAGCTCATTCTGTGAGTTCATTTTTTTAGAGCTGGGTAAATAAATAGGGATGAAATGGAGAAGTCAAGGAAATTGGGGTCAGTGAAAGATGAGGATCACTTCTATCATCAGGGTGCAGTAGAGCTGCTGGTTTTTAACTTTTTACTCATCCTGACAATACTTACCATTTGGCTGTTTAAAAACCACCGATTCCGCTTTTTGCATGAAACTGGAGGCGCGATGGTTTACGGTGAGTGTTCCGATGAAAGTTGTGCCATGGCATTTTAAACTTGTTGCATGAGGTGTATAATTAGACACTTGAGCTCAAGTGTTGACAAAGTGTGTGAACAAGGAAAATGCATTAATTTAAAAGTCAAAAGTCTATTGAGCTGTGCAGTAAAGTAACAGATGCGAGGCACCCATCCCTTCTCTCTCTCTCCTCTCCTGAAACAGCTAGAGGATAACTTGTCAAGGAAGTAAATGTCACAAGCATGCTGCCAACATAATGGGCTTCACTGAGCACAGCAGATCTCCAAAACTCTTGTGTGCTTCCTGGGAGCTCTGATCTGGCTTCAAGAGATAATATTTCTTAGGATTATGATGAACAGTATTGGGTGACATCTATCTACCGAACTGCCAGATGGCAACACACTGAGCGTTTATTAAAATGAAGAATTCTCCTACATTTCAGCTTCATGCTCTGTTGTAAGTTCAGCAAACTGAACATTTGTGTTGTTTTTGCTGGGCTCTTACCAAAAGAACAGAAAACAGGCTGTGAAAAATGAGACGCTCCGAATGCTGTCATGAAAGATTTTCCCCCATCGTCCCTCTTGTAGTTTATATTTTTGTGTATGTGGGTTTCCTGAGTTTCATATGCAAGCTGCGTGGCAGAAAGAAATTCTGTGAACCCCACAGCTAGAAAAACCACATGCTAAGTATTAATGTGCTATATATCACAGTGTGATATGAAGTCACGTTTTTGCATCTTGCACAGCAACCTTGTCTTCACACCCCATAGGCCTTCATTGCCCTATTGAAACAGGCAGAATCCAATAGTTTACAGACTGTGTATGATAGTTACACTTCGTAAGAATATAGCCATTTTAATAAAAGCATCAGCATTCATGTATGAGGAATCAGAGCCCTGTCACAATGTGTTAAAAATTGCTGATTTTTAAAAAATACTGACTCATTTATTACATCAACTGCACACTTTGTTCCTGGAAAATCAGAGACCGCACTGGTGGATTCATTCTCATTTATTCAGCTTCCCCTATCAGATTTATATCAATCCATAAACACACAAATAGACAAAATAGAGTAGTAGTACCATTTAAGCAAAGTGTGACTAGCTTGGGAAAAACCATGCTGCACAGAACTTTATGCTGGCTGTTCAGGTTTGAAGCCCAGCAAAGCTATCAACTCAAGCAAGGGTGGGGTTTTGTACGCACTGGCCTAGTCTGCAACATGCCTCTTTACTGCCCCTTGACAGCTTCAATGCAAAGGTCTGAAGGGAGATTCTATATACATTTGAGTATTTTTTTTAAGAAATCCATGCCTAGGACGATTTCAAACTCTCAGGTTTTCATGCTCAGTTTACAAAGGGCAGGAGATGGTAGGAATGGTACGCATGAGAATATTGGGAACCATGATGGCATGTAGGAAACAGCGTCCTTCAATGCTTACACAGTTTCTGCCCTTGAACAAAAAATAAAGGGCACAGACAAAAAAGCTGGTGTTTTAGTCTTGATTCCTATACAATTGTCAAGGAAACAAATTCAGTTTGATAACTAATACAACACCAGTGTTTTCCATCCTGCAGCAGATTTGGCATACCTACAAGCAAACCTCATACTTGGTTTCTTGACTAAAGCAGGGAGAGGGAGAGGGAGAGTGTTCAGAGGAAAGAAGGGGAAACTTTGTATGCAGCCATTTCAGATAGGCATGCAAAGAAACTGGAGCCGTTCTTCTTGTCATGTTGTTGAATTTACTGATCTTGCTGGCAGCATAATATGAGTGAATGCTTTTATATTGCATTATATTGCAATATAATGCATTTCTGCTCCCTCTGAACAAAAGGAGCTTCCTGTCCCCTGGCTACCATACATTTTGGTCTGGGAGTAACTGGGAGTGACTGATTCTGCCATGTGTTGCCGATACATCGTCAGCTGCACCTGCTGCACTGGCTCCCAGTCCATTTCCAAGTCAACTCAAAGTGTTGGTGTTGACCTTTAAGCCCTTCATAGCCTGAGACCAGAGTTTCTAACGGCACAACTCTTCCTGCGTGTGCCTGCTCAGACCCTGAGGTCATCTTCAGGAGCCTTCTTCCAGATGTCCTCAGCAAAGGAAGTTACACAGGTAACTATGAGAGAGGGGTTTCTCCCAGGTGGCACCCGTCTTCTGGAATGCATTCGCCAAAGAGGTTTGCCTGAAACCTACTTTGTTAGGTTTCTTGCTCCAGGCAAAGACTTTTCCTTCTGCCCAGACATTTGGTTTTCTTTATGTGCCATTTGGGCTTAATTGACTTACGGCAACTCTGTGAATCAGTGGATCCCCAGAATGTCCTGCCCTTGGCAGCCCTACTCAACTCCTATAAACTCAAGACCATGGCATCCTTTATCAATTCCTGTGCTGTTTATAGTTTTCCACGATATTGGATTTTAGTTTTATAGGGTTTTTTCCTATTTTACCTGGGTTTTGGAGAGGCTGTTTAGTTTTTAACTAGCTGTAATTGGTCGAGTAAGGTAGGCATTGGATAGCCCCCCTTGTGGTACCCACAGACACATCTCTTGGTCTCCAGAAGTCTACCTGGACCTCCTGGATGATGGTGGTGGTGGTGGTGAAGGACTGAAGGCTGGCATGTTTGAAAACCAGCCCTCTAGCACCTCCTTTATCTGGGTTTTTAGTTTAGGCTTTCAGACTCCACATCTTCCTTGTACATAGGTTCTTGGGGAAGTCACTTCCTTTAGTCTGCCAGTTTGTCTTCTGCGAAATGACTCTTTTGTGACTGGTCATGCATGCCACACTGATCCAAAAATGTGGGAACTTCTGTGGAAATGCATGGCATGGCAATATTGCAGTGCACAAGATATGCAGGACTGGTACGCCAGGGAGAAGGTGGCAGAGAGGGCAGTGGGGACTGGCAGAGTATATCCAAGCCTTGCAGCAGCCTTTGCACGCCTGGTGGTGCCTTTCCCACGCAGCATCTCCTGTTCACCTGTCTGACTCTACTTTTTATTCTGCTTAAATCTCTTATAACAAAACAGTGATTTTTCATAAGAGTTGTAATCCATCAGCTCTTTCCCTTTTTGTGGCTTTTGAATAAAAAGTCTGTTAGATAGATTTGCTGGATCTGCTCTGTCATGAAGAATCGCTCAGGAATGTTTGGGTTTATTAATTTTCATCTTTCTTTTTAAACTCTATTGCCTATGTAGAGTGGCTGGCAGTTGCATCCAGACTGCCATCCCGAGACGCCTCTGAAATATTCATGAACTCCACTGTGCAATTTCACCATTAACATTGGTCCTATTCGTCTTTTTTACACCAGGGAGGCTTGATCAGCTGAGTCCCCCCGCACTTTAGCTGGATTACAGGTTGTTCCTATAATTGAAGCTAGCAAGCCCATAAATGTATGTGGAGAACTTACCCGGTCCAAAGCATCCTTTTTGATCCTCTCATTTCTGAAGAAGTGGATAGCTGAGTTTGAATTTTGCAGCTAGAATTTACTTGTATGATAGGAAAACATAATATCTGTATATTTGGACCAATCCCTTGATTTTACAAGCAGCACTGCTTTAGTATTGATGAAAAGGAATATATTTACAAAAGTTTAGTTTGGAGGAAATAGATGTATTAGCATTTAAGGTGCCCTTTGTTGCAAGTAAGGCAGTCTTACCCAATTTAGTGCCCAGCAGATTGGTTCAGAATTGCAGCTAGTGCAAAATATGGCAGCTGTGATATTGAGTGGGCATCCTGGCTATGTACACAGCATACTATTGTTGAAGTGACTATACTGCTTGGTTATTAGCTACCAAGCCAGATCCTGCTGTTGGCACATGAACTGCTGAACTGCTTTTCTTGACAGATCATTTCCCTGAGGATAGACCTGTGCAGTCATTAAGATCATTGGAAAAGCATTTGGTGCCTGTGCTGTGATCTGCATATTGCTATCTCATGGCAACTCAGAAGCAGGCACCCACCCTATGAAATGCCCCCCCACCCCCGGTGGTATTTGGGATGTGCCCACTATGGTATGCTGTAGGTACTGATTAAAGACCCATCTCTTTGATCAGGCCTGATCAAGTTTGTTTTAAGATGGTGTTTCAAATATTTGTCTTTAGATTTGCATTTATTTAGTTTTATTTTAAATGTTTTATTTATATGTTTGTGTTTATTGAGAGATAACTTCAATGTATCTTAATCTTTATTTGAAAACTGCATTTTCAAAGAGGTATTTTTTCAATATAAGTGAAAAAAATAGTTTAATATTGACTACACCAAAGTGGGCAACTTGAGGCCTCCCAAACGTTTTACTCCATCCACTGCTCTCATCAGCCTTAGGTAGATTGGTCAATGAGTGAGAAAGCTGGCAGTATCTGCAGCACAAAATATCTGCAGGACACCAGGGCGGGAAAAGCTGAACTAAGTCATCTTTAGACAGGCAGACTCCGAGATAGAACCAGGATGCAGCCTGACTCTCCTGCTGTTTCACCTGTGCTGGGAAGTAAAGGATGCTTGAAATTCCAGGCCAAACAAGAGGCCATCAGCACCCCTTCTGCCTTTCGTTCCTTTGTTTGCCCTCCGGAAGCCCTTTGCACAAGAATGCTGAATCACACAAGCGCCTAAAGCACTTTCCCTGCTGACCTCCAGATGTGTTGAACCACAGCTCTCAGTATCTCCCCGCCAGCCAGTCTGAAGTGAGTGCCTGTGCATCAGAGCCGTTGGTTGTCATTGTTGTTGCCCTAAGGGTGGGCATGGAGGTGGGGCAAGAGCAAGGTGGGCAACCTGCATCCAGCACAGGCATCTTTCGCAGTGATTATCACATTGAATTTCAGTTGACTGGGACTTACTTGTAGTAGAATAATATCATAATAACAGAAAAAATTTTAAAAAAGTTTAAAACAACTAAAAACAAACAGAAACAAAGAACAACTTTGTAAAAACATCTGAGATGGTGGATCCCCCCAGATCCCCAGGTGTTCAGGCAAGTCTTTGGAGACCTATGCATAAAGGGGCTGGTGCTGAAAGGAT